ACATTCTGTTTTTATTGGCATACAATATCAAAATCATAATAAAAGGGAGCCTCTAAAAATGAACAGATTTGTAGTCTATGAACTCTTCAAACTCTATCTGTGTGTCCTAAGTTAAGCAACTTGACCTCTCTGTGTCTGGTTTCTTCATTATGACAAGTCCACCTCGAGGACTGTCACAAGGGCTCAGTGTGTCAGTGACTGTGATGTGCTTAGAGGTATTCAAGAAGCTTATCACTAATATTTCTCATCAAAACGGATGCGATTCAAAACTTGAACATTTTTCTTTTTAAGCAGCACAGACATTTCTCTTTGTCTGTCATAAATAGAAATAAGACCTCTCCTTTCCTGTGTTGAAAGATGTCCAAAATAGACATGCATATATCCATTGTTGAACTGTAGAATAAAAAAATAACAAAACAAGAATGAACTTGCTACAGAAAGAAATTCACAAATGATTAGAAAGTACTATTTTACATTGCTTCAGCCAGCCTACTTTAATTGACCCTCTGATTGGGTGAAGCTGCTTCAAGTACTGAAATCGTTCAAGACAAACAGTTGGAGACAAATTCGCCTACCTTGCAATCCTGTTGTGGTCAAGACCAACTTGCCTATATTCCTGAACTTTGAGTAAAGGACTAATCTCCCAGAAGGACGGTGGATGTAGAGAGGTGGGCCTTCTTGTGCTTCCAACAGACAAGGACAATGACAGTATTTTACTGATGAGCATTATGTCTGTCATTGCAAGGTTAATCACTCACTTCATGTAGCTTTCCAATCTCCGTTAAATACCTTATGCATGGGAGTGAGTGATGATGTGTGTGGATTTCAGAATCAGTGTTCTGCAAGGGCTGCCTGCTAGAGCAGGGACTTGAACAGATGGCCAACTGAAGGATAGCATTCTCTCTCTTACACTGCACATCACTGTCACAGTCTTTGGTATTCCACGACCTTGCTTAGAGCTGTGAGGGTGGATCTCATTCACCTGTGCTGCAGCTGTAGCGCAGAGAGCTGAGCCAATAGCTTACTGAAAATAGATGATAAACCAGCACTCAGGAGGCAGAAGCAGGCTGATCTCTGAGTTCAAGGCCAACCTGGTCTTCAGAGGCGAGTTCTAGACAGCCAAGGTTACATAAAGAAACCCTGACTTGAAAAACCAAAATGGAAAAAAAAAAAGAGAAAGAAAAAAAAAAAAGAAAGAAAAGTTCAATGTACACAGTGGCATAGACTTTAAGGTTGTTGGTGGCAGGGACTTGTAGAAGTGTATGTAATTCCCTTGGGTTACTGACACCATATCTTGAATACCATGTGTACTCAATACCGTGTTTAAAATGGATATGTGAGGTAATCCTACTTTGATTTGGGAGTTGGAAGATTTGGCCCTTGAGCAAGCCAAAGACAATTAAATCTCTCTATGTTTTTTTTTTAATTTTAAAATATGGAGATGACTAATACTGTCTATATTTTGTTTGACTGGAGGTAAGAGATATAAATATAACTATGTAAGAATTCTTCTGATGTGTATTTGGCAACTTTCTCCAAACTAAAACTTTTCCTACTCATGATGTCTTCAAAACCAGAAAGGGACATTCTTCACTTATCCTAAGAAAGATAGCAGAAAAATTCGAATTTGTATAGCTCTGAGATATCTCAACCATCATCAGGTTGCTATATCTTCTCATCGGTAAAGGCAGAGTTATTGAACATAGCCAGAAAAGCACCGGGCAAGGGTTGGAACTCAGTGAAACAGATATAGAAGCTTTGAATTGATTCATAAAAACCTCACTTACATATTTCTTCTGAGTTCAACCTATATGAACTCAGGACCTAGGTTTCCCAGATTTCTGTGTATCTATTTTTCTCTCCTGGGGAAGGGAAGCAGATGGTCGTGCTGACGAAACATTTAAGGACGAAATAGTTTTTTAAAAAAATGCATCAACAGTAGCAGAAATGCAAGGGAATGCCAATGCCGTGTCTTTGTCGTTCATTGAAATCCAAACACCCCATTCTTTTAATAGAGATCTAAGACAGGGCTAAGTGTCTCTCAGAGACCTGACGTTGAAAAGATATTTAGTCTTTGCATGCTATATATAATAGATGTCAAGACGGGAGGACTTCAGCTAGCAGGAGCTGATCCTTCATTTCTTCGTCTACAACTTTCCTTTGCTTCTAGGCGTATTTCCTCTCCATCAAACACTTCGAATGTCCACAGCCTATTAAAGAGTAAAGATTTAAAAGATTAAAAGATTTTAAAGATTAAAAGTAAAGAGTAAAGACGTATCTCTTTTTAGTCCTGCTCGAAGAAAAAGAGGGACAGAGGGCTGCAATTTGGGAGGAATGTAACTAATTTTGAGAGTCTTGCTGTATTCTTCCAATATTATCTGTATGTATTGCATGTATACGGTACAGTTATATTTTGAGACGCGGAGAAGCTTTTAAGAATTCCAAAGTATATGTTTCAATCATAGAGATTTCTGTTTCATATTCACAGAACCTCTCCTTAGGAATCTGCATCTTTAGAGCAACCATCTCAGGTGAATCAGAGGCATTCAAAACACCACCATCAACTCTGTCATTCAATTGGTGTTTCCCTGCTGTCAAAATGCTTATGTATGCACATTCTGTTCTGGGAGGTAGATGGGGCGATTATCTTCATTGTGAGAATGAAAGGGACCAAGTTCAGCTGATTTCCTTAGTTCTTCCTTATAGTCTCTGCCTTCTTGTTCACTCTTGAGATTCCCCTTAGATGACCTTTTACTTTTGGGGTGTTGATTTGCCAAAGGCAGGGTCCTCCCCAAGGCCAGCCAGTACTATCTGTGCCTGCCTTGCTGAAAAATGAGGCAAGCCTTCCTGTGGCCAAGGAGAGAAAATAATAATTTTATTTGTGGACATTGAACACTTCCCTAATTGGCTGTGTTGACAGTTGATTTCAAGCAATCCCTTCTGTCTTGTCAAATGTACTTTGGAGTGCGCATCCTTTTCACCTATCTTGATTGGTGTTGTTCAAATTCCAGGAATGAATCTATCATCTCCAGCCAGCCAAACTGGGCTGCTGCAATGGTTGCATGCTCTCCCCTCTTTGGCCCTCAGAGGCCCCTTCTCCCATACTGTCCCTGCTTAATAATCCTCTCAACTGTCTGTCACACCAGTCTTTGCTTTGTCCAACCAGTAGTCAGAAAGGCCAGACACCTGATTGGGTTGTCAGATTCACACCTCTGTCCTTCTCATGGCCTAAATGAATCTCAGGTAGTCCAGCAGATTTGTGCTCATATTTAGACAACCTCTGGGTCCCTCAGAGTTTGTGTCAGTCCATTTTCAGCAGGGTGCAGGGCTGGTATTTTCCCCCAACCTCTTTGAATACTTCCGGTCTCGACTTGCAGATCGCCCACTGAATGAAGAGAGAGTGGTACTATTTGAAGACCAGTTGGAGAGAAAAATGCAAACATGACTAAGGTGCACTCCCAGACAGACCACAGCCTGAACCAAGGGTGAACTCAGGTTTCCAGAATCTCCAATGCTGTGTTTCCTTGGATGCTCGCTACCAGGAGCACTTCAAGCATTTCTGGAGACAAGCTTGCTCTCCCATGCTGTTGTTCACTGCCCTTGTTCACATCAATCTAGCATCCCACCTTTATTCACCCTCAAGGCAGGTTACCTACTGAGACCTAGGCATTGAATCCTCTTTGTAGCTTTCCCGACAGAAACAAGAAATCTAGGTTCCAAAATGTGGCAGGGGTGCGCGCGCCCGGGGTGGGGGTGGGGGCAACATAGGTGAGCAGGAGGTCATTGATACTTTCTCCAGTGTTCACTTCCTTACTTCCTGAAGAATGCTATATATTTCTGGTCACTAGAGAGAGGACAGATTGCATCTCCCTGCTTCCTGCACCATCCTGTCTTTGGCCATCCAGGGTCCTTCAACAAGCTGGTGGATGTTGTTTTTCTCTTTGAGGGGGAGGGACCGGACACAGCATACCCAAGCTGCAGTTCCCTCACTCAGCCTCTGAGAATTTCTCATCCAAACCTCAATCACGTAGGATTGCGTAGAGAGGAGAAAAGGGGAGAGACAGAAGACGGAGAGGGGGGAGAGGGTGTGGGGGGGGGGGAGGAAGGAGAGAGTCTGGGAGCAGAGGGCGCGAGGAAAGGGAGCAGGACCTAAGTGCCACGCTTTCCAGTGCTCCTCCAGCCCAGCCCCCAACTCAGTCCCACCAGGAGGCTTTCCTGCTCTCCAGGAGCCTGAGCAACTCAGGCTCCTAGTCCCACCCGCCCTCTCGGCGGCTGTCGCCTCTGCCGGGAGTTTCCTGCGGAGCTACCGCTCGGACGGAGATAGCCCGCGGCGGCGCCCAGGAATCTTTGCCCATGAATGGGACTCCGCCCTGAGCGCCCCCTCCCGGTCCAGGGAAGGCGGCGGGGGGCGCCCCGCGCTCCCGCGGCTCTCAGCCGCCCCCGGCGCAGCAAGTTGGGCGAGTTGGTGGCCGCCTTCACCTGC